CTAGTAAATATATACATATACCGTATTTTCCGGGGTACAAGACAACTGGGCGTATAAGATGACCCCCCAACTTTTCAAGTTAAAATACAGAGTTAGGGATATACTCGCCATATAAGACCACTTTTCTTCCAACACAATTCCATTGATTTGGTAACTACGACTCCCAGAATGCCTCAGCGGGCATGTCCAAGACACGCCTCTGCCCGGGCTGCTGGGAGTCGTAGTCTGGAGGTGTTTTCTTGGGCCTAAGTGGGCCCGATGGCCTTCAGAAGCTTCTGCCGGCTGATGGGGTGGCCTTGCTTTCTTCCTCTCTCTCCCAGCTGCCTGGAAATAGTGACGTGGGAGGATTTGGAGGGCCTTGAAAGCAGCAGCTGTGGTGAAGTCAAGTCCCTTAGAGCGTAGCCTGAGGAGGAGGAAGGAAGGAGGATGGAAGGTGTAGGGAGGAGGAGCAGTAGGTCTGCTGAGCTGTCCCCGCAATCCCCGCCGCTCTCCCTGTTCTACTTGCAAGGCCCTTCTCCAACTCCTCCAACGTCGCCATTTCAGGGCAGACGGGAGAGAAAGGAAGGAAGGAAGGCCACCGATCCGCTTCCTTAATTTCTAGGCAAGTCTGGTGGCCTTCAGAGGCTTCTGCTGGCTGATCGGGTGGTCTTGCTTCCTTCCTCTTTCTCCCGGCTGCCTAGAAATGGCAACGTTGGAGGAGTTGGAGAAATGCCTTGAAAGTAGAATGGGGAGAGCGGCAGGGACAGCCCGGCGGGCCTGCCGTTCCTCCCCATGCCCTCCCTCCCTCCCTCCTCCTTAGCGGCATGGCCTGAGAAGGGAGGAGGAGGAGGAGGAGGCATAGTCCAGAGGTGCTTTCTTGGACCTAGGCGAGCTCGGTGGCCTTTGGCTAGGCTTGGGCGATCAAGGAAAAATTTGGTTCTAAACTCGTTTCGTTTCTGGGGCGCACTGGTGTTTGGTTTTTTTTTTTACGTACAAAATTTCCGATTTCAAAAATTCGAAATTTACAAAATTTTGTTAATTACAAATCGATTTGTTAATGAGGTGGGCGTGGCCTCGCCCAGCTCCTCCTGAAGGCCACGCCCACCTCATCCCCCTGTCAGCCATCGCCCTTTGCAGGCACCCAGAGCAGGGAAACTGTAAGATTGCTTTTAAAATAATTTCCCTGCCCTGGGTGCCTGCAAAGGGCGATGGATGGCTGGGGACTGAGGTGGGCATGGCTACGCCCGGCTCTTCTTGACGGCCAGGCCCCCAGTGTCCGTCAAGAAGAGCCTGGCGTAGCCACGCCCACCTCATCCCCCAGCCATCCATCGTCCTTTGCAGGCAGCAAGGGCAGGGGAACTGTAAGATTTCTAAAGCAATCTTACAGTTCCCCCGCCCTTGCTGCCAGCAAAGGGCGAGGGATGGCTGGGGGATGAGGTGGGCGTGGCCTCGCCGGCTCCTCCTGGAGGCCACGCCCACCTCGCAAAGCCAGCCTCGCAAAGCCGGCGGATGCAAAGAGGGAGGAGGTGGGGTGGGAAACAGCTGTTCCTCAAGGTCATGCCCTCTGCATTTATGATTCACTGACGGATCGTAAGGAAGATGGCGGACGCAAGCTTCGATATGGGCAAAACACTTCCGGGTTGCTGAAACGCGTCGATATCGCTTCTAATTATTAAAAAATAACGAAATAATAACGGAATACAAAATTAACGACTTGGATCGCCCAAGCCTATCTTTGGCAGACCTGCCAGGGTGTCCCCACCACCGCTACCGCTCTCCCCGCTCTACTTTCAATGCCCCTCTCCAAATACTCCCACGTCGCTATTTCCAGGCAGCCAGGAGATAGGAAAAAAGCAAGGCCACTTGACGACTTCCTTAGGTCGAGGCAAGCCTGATGACCTTCAGGGGCTTCTGCTGACCGATCGGGTGGTCTTGCTCCTTTCCTCTTTCTCCTGGCTGCATGAAAATGGCAACGTTGGAGGTGTTGGAGAAGGGCCTTGAAAGTAGAATGGGGAGAGCGGTGGGGAGAGTCTGGCGGGCCTGCCACTCCTCCCCGCGCCCTCCCTCCTCCTTAGCGCCATGGCCTGAGAAGGGAGGAGGAGGAGGAGGAGGAGGCATAGTCCAGAGGTGCTTTCTTGGACCTTGGCAAGCTTGGTAGCCTTTGGCAGGCCCACCCCCGCCACAGCTCTCCCCACTCTAATTTCAATGCCCTCCTCCAAATCCTCTCACGTCACTATTTCCAGGCAGCCAGGAGAAAGAAAAAATGCAAGGCCATCCAATCGGCTGGCAGAAGCCTCCGAAGGCCACCAGGCTCACCTAGACCCAAGGAAGCACCTCCGGACTACAACTCTCAGCAGCCCTGAGCCACCCGCTGAGGCATTTTTTATACCACCATTTTTATACCTGGTGTATAAGACTACCCCCAACTTTCTATTAGATTTGCAAGGGTTAAAAAGTCCCTTTATCCGCCAGAAAATACGATATATAAGAGAAAAGTAAGATCCAGGTTATGCACAACCTCAGATGTTCTGAAAGCCAGTGGTTAAAAATTTAAGTTGTTGTGATGACAAATGGGAACCAGCCATGGAAATATGGTTGGTGGGAAAGGGTGGACAAAGCTACATTGGTCTGAGGAATGACATATAGGTTGCTTACCTGTAACCGTAGTTTTCCAAGTGGCCACCTGTGAATTCGCACATATGGTATTTCTGCGCCTGCGCAGAACAGCTTCGGAATCTTCTGATAAATTTGAAAACTTTGGCGGTTGGCCCCACCCACTCTTCCCACAACAGTATATGTAGCCCGTGGGGGGCTAACCGCCTCTAGTTCTCTTCCGCCGCATATAGCAGCCAGAAGGAGGAGGCATGGCAACAACAGGGAGGATGGGCGGGGCTGTGCGAATTCACAGGTGACCACTCGGGAACCTTGAGAACTAGAGGTGGTTAGCCCCCCACGGGCTATATATACTCTTGAGGGGAGAGTGGGCGGGGCCAACCGCCAAAGTTTTCAAATTTATCAGAAGATTCCGAAGCTGTTCTGCGCAGGCGCAGAAATACCATATGTGCGTATTCACAGTTGACCACGACGGGAAAAGGAAGGATGCACAAGTTTGTGGGAAAAGTGCAACCAATGTGGTAGACTATGGACCATATGATCTCGACTGCTTGGCCCAATTAAAATGCCCAGAATTTGGAAAAGATGGTCATTCTAAATACGAGCATCTTCCTCTCCTAGCAACAGTTTAGACAAAGGAACGGCCTTTTGATAATCCCACTTTTCGATTCAGACACCAGAGGCATGCAGCGAGGACTTCAAACTGCACATTGTTTGTGCTTCCTTCCATATTCAGTGTGATGTCACTTCAATCTGGGAAAATGAGTTTCTTTTCCCTATGGATTCCCCAGAAATCCGATAATCCAGTTTAGTGTTATCATCTGAAAAAACATCTTAGTGTGAGGAGAATCTATGGATTCTATCTCTACCATGAGGCTATGGCTTTAGACTGAAAATAGACCTGTCTTTAGGTCAACTGACCATGACATATCCAGTTGGCTCACCGTTATAATTACCAACACCATGCTGGGAGACAATTCGACAGTGTTCACATAGAGCATGCACATGGAAAGACATTGTAGCTCTGGGGCTGAGAAATTCAATATATGCCTCACTGAAATGACTGCTAAAAATGTACACAGAGATGGGTATGACCATGTTCAACCATGATGTGGAAGGAGATAGAATTTTAGGTCGCACGTAATATTCCAAAAAACCTGTTCAGTGTTGACATCTGTTGATGTTCTTCAAAAAGAAATGCGAGCCATTAAGCCAATACTTACATTTCCATTGGTGAGGAACAGTTCAGTTTGGGTAAGGATACCAAGAGCTGGACCTCAAAATCCATGAAATGGAAGGAGCTCTCATCATCCATGAAATGGCTCTGTTTGGGTACTAGTATCAACAGATGGACTTCAACCTTCATGGAATGGCTCTGTTTGGGTACCACTATCAATTGATGGACCTCAACCTTCATGGAATGGCTCTGTTTGGGTACTGCTATCAATGGATGGACCTCAACCTTCATGAAATGGCTCTGTTTGGGTACCAGTATCAACAGATGGACCTCAACCTTCATGAAATGGCTCTGTTTGGGTACCAGTATCAACGGATGGATCTCAGCCTTCATGAAATGGCTCTGTTTCAGTACTAGTATCAATGGATGCACCTCAACCTTCATGGAATGGCTCTGTTTGTGTACCAGTATCAATGGATGGACCTCAACCTTCATGAAATGACTCTGTTTAGGTACTAGTATCAACGGATGGACCTCAACCTTCATGAAATGGCTCTATTTCAGTACTAGTATCAATGGATTGACCTTAACCTTCATGAAATGGCTCTGTTTGTGTACCAGCATCAATGGATGGACCTCAACCTTCATGAAATGGCCCTGTTTGCATACCAGTATCAATGGATGGGCCTCAACCTTCATGAAATGGCTCTGTTTGGGACCAGTATCAATGGATGGACCTCAACCTTCATGAAATGGCTCTGTTTGGGACCAGTATCAATGGATGGGCCTCAACCTTCATGAAATGGCTCTGTTTGGGACCAGTATCAACAGATGGACCTCAATCTTCATGAAATGGCTCTGTTGGGGTTCCAGTGTCAATGGATGGACCTCAGTCTTCATGAAATGGCTCTGTTTGGGTAACAGTGTCAATGGATGGACCTCGGTCTTCATGAAATGGCTCTGTTTGGGTAACAGTATCAACGGATGGACCTCAACCTTCATGAAATGGCTCTGTTTCCATGGATGAACCTCAGCCTTCATGGAATGGCTCTGTTTGGGGACCAGTATCAACAGATGGACCTCAACCTTCATGAAATGGCTGTTTTTGTACCAGTATCAATGGATGGACCTCAACCTTCATGGAATGGCTCTGTTTGGGTACCAAAATCCACAGAGGGACCCCAACAGCCATGAGGTTCAAATTGCCATGGTGGGATGCCCTCCGCCTTACCTGCTCCCATTGAAGGATGCCTTATAATCCCCCGGGGAGAGGATGGTCTCCTCCGTGTAGATCGGCACGGGTGTCCTCACGCACTCATGGGAGCACTGGAGAGTTTCGTTGTAGGCTGTGAATATGTCCAGGTTGCTGGGCACTCGGGCCGGGGTGAAGTCCGTCAGGTTCTGACAGCTTTCTTCCTGCTGGTTGATTTTGCGTTGGTGGCCGTTCCGCCGCGTGTTCCCACTTTGAGCACAGCTACAAGGGAGAGGAAAACCCAAAAAGGAGTCAGGCCAAAACAGGGGATGCCAGCAGGTCTACCAAAACAAGTTGTCATCCCTGCTTCATTTCTTTCGAGTTGAGAGAATGGAACTTGCTCAAAATCACCCATGACTTATCAGAGATCCAAACCTTGGTCTCCATGAGTTCTAGGATAGTAGGGCTGGGCGATTTCGTCCGTTAATTTCGTAATTCGTTATTAATTCGTTATTTTTTTATAACGATGCTATATTGAACCATTCAGGAGCAACTAAAAAAAGAAACAAATTTTTTCAATTCGTTTCGTAATTGTTTCGTAATTGTCTCGAAATCGATTCGTAATAGATTCGAAATTGTTTCGTTATTATTTCCGCATGTCTGGTGCAAATTTTAGGGTTGCTGTTTGTTTTCTCAGTGAAAAAATAAATAAATTATCACACCAACAGTCAACAACAGAGGGAGAGGGAAGCTTCAGAAGTTCCCCCTGTCCCATTTGGAGGGTTTTTTAGCGTATTGCGAGATCACGCCCGCCATTAACGAATCGATTCGTAATTGTTTCGAAACCGATTCGTAATTGATTCGTAATTTACGAAATTTCATAAATATCGAAAAAATTTTAAGGAAAATTTTGGAATTCTTTTAAAAATCGAAACGCAAAAACCCCCTAAAAACGAATTGAGTTTAGAAACAAATTTTTCCGTGGTTGCCCAGCCCTATAGGATAGATCTACATTGTTGAATTAATACAGTTTGATACCATTTTGACTTCCTGGGCTCAATGCTATGGAATCCTAGGAGTTGCATTTGGTGAGGCACCAGTTCTCTTGGCCAGATTTTACTTACAACTCCCATGATGCCATAGCATTGAGCCCAGGAAGTCAAAATGGTATCAAACTGTATTAATTCAACAATGTAGATCTATCCTATAGGGCTGGGCAACCACGGAAAAAATTGTTTCTAAACTCAATTCGTTTTTAGGGGGTTTTTGCGTCAATCTGCATTAACTCCAAAGTGTAGATGCACCCTTAGTGAGTAGCCTTTAGGCTTGGGTAACCATGGAAAAATTTGGTTCTAAACTCGTTTCGTTTTTACAAAATTTCGTAAAATTACGAATCGATTCGTTAATGGCGGACGAGATTGCGCAATATGCTAAAAAAACCTCCAAATGGGACAGGGGGAACTTCTGAAGAAATCGCTTTCTGGCTGGACTTCTGCAATGTGGTCAATATGGGGCTGCCCTTGAAGTGGTCACCAAGGCACAGCCCGCAGAACTCACTTTCTGGCTGGACTTNGTGGTCACTCTGGGGCTGCCCTCGAAACAGTCACCAAGACACAGCCTGCACAACTCATTTTCTAGCTGGACTACTGCAATGTGGTCAATGTGGGGCTGCCCTTGGTCAATATGGGGCTGCCCTTGAAGTGGTCACCAAGGCACAGCCCGCAGAACTCACTTTCTGGCTGGACTTCTGCAATGTGGTCACTCTGGGGCTGCCCTTGAAAGAGTCACCAAGGCACAGCCTGTTCAACTCATTTTCTAGCTGGACTACTGCAATGTTGCCAATGTGGGGCTGCCCTTGAAACAGTCGCCATGTCACAGCCTGCACAACTCTCTTCCTAGCTGGAATACTGCAATGTGGTCAATGTGGGGCTGTCCTTGGAACAGTCACCACAGTACAGCCGGTGCAACTCACTTTCTGGCTGGACTACTGCAATGTGGTCAATATGGGACTGCCCTTGAAGCAGTCACCAAGGCAAAGCCTGAAGAAATCACTTTCTGACTGGACTTCTGCAATGTAGTCAATGTAGGGCTGCCCTTGAAACACTCACCGAGGCACAGCCGGCGCAACTCACTTTCTGGCTGGACTACTGCAGTGTGGTCAATTTGGGGCTGCCCTTGAAACAGTCACCAAGGCACAGCTGGTGCAACTCACTTTCTGGCTGGACTACTGCAGTGTGGTCAATGTGGGGCTGTCCTTGAAACAGTCACCAAGGCACAGTCTGTGCAACTCGCTTTCTGGCTGGACTACTGCAATGTGGTCAATGTGGGGCTGCCCTTGAAACAGTCACCAACTCACTTTCTGGCTGGACTTCTGCAATGTGGTCAGTGTGGGACTGCCCTTGAAACAGTGGGGCAGGAGGAACTTCTGAAGCTTCCCTCTCCCTCTGTTGTTGACTGTTGGTGTGATAAAACAAACAACAACTATAAAACTTTCACCAGACATGCGAAAATAATTATGAAATAATAACGAAATAATTACGAAATAAATTGAAAAAATTATTTCGAATCTAATTTACTCCTCACACAATTCCTGCATGGCTCAATATTGGATCGTAAGCTAATTTAAATACGAATTAATAACGAATTACAAAATTAACGAACGAAACCGCCCAAGCCTACTAGTCTTGTGAAGGAAGTCCCATTCTGGCAACAGAAGCTCTCTGCAAAATAAAAATGCAAATAAGGACAAAAGACAATGCTTAGGGAAAAAAATACAGTGTTCCCTCGCTGTTTCGTAGTTTGCTTTACGCAGACTCATTGTTTCGTGGGTTTTAAAAAAAAATAATTTAAAATATATATCATTGTATTTTCGGTGTTTCGCGGGTTTTTGCCGCCACCGCTCTCCGAGGCGCTTTCCCTCCTCAGTCCTCCCTCTCTCCAGCCTTTCCTTTCCTTCACTTTATTTTACATTTATAAAGACTTTAAATAGTGTATAACTACTAAAATAATGTATAAATCTATATATATAAAATCTAAAAGGGCGTCCTTAGGGACTGCAAAACGCGAAAAACCCCAGACGAAAACTCACTAAACTTGCTGTACACATACCTCAAACCACAAGGTATGCACAACACTCATCACAATCCAAAACAACATTACAACAAACTCACAATCACAGAAGCAAACAGAGCAGGTGCAGAGGCGTCCCGGCGTGAGCCGCCCGGCGCACGCACATGGCCAGACCACGCCCCCTCCAGGGAAACCACACCCCTCCCTCTGCCACCCCGCCCCTACCCACCCATACACCATCTTTCCCTCCTACCCCTCTTCCTCCTCCCCCGCCCACGCCCCCTCCAACACAACCACTCCCCCACCCTCTGCTGCCCCGCCCCTGTGTCTCCCAGCTTCACCATCTGAGATCGACCCTCTAGGAAGGTCCGGAGCCATGACAGAGCCGTACCTGCACGGCCCATCCCGGAGAGGCGTCCCAGAAGGATACCATGATCGATGGTATTGAAAGCCGCTGAGATGTCCAAGAGAACCAACAGGGTCACACTCCCCCTGTCCAGCTCCCTGCGGAGGTCATCCACCAAGGTGACCAAAGCTGACTCGGTGCCATGGCCAGGTCTGAAGCCAGACTGTGACTGATCTAGGTAGTTGATATCATCCAAAAACCCCTAGAGCTGAGAGGCAACCACCCGCTCCAACACCTTGCCCAGAAAAGGGAGGTTTGAGATTGGTCTATAGTTATTCAAGATTGTGGAATCAAGGGAAGTCTTTTTCAGGAGTGGTCTGACCACAGCCTGTTTTAAGCCTGATGGAAAAATTCCTTGCTCCAATGATGTATTAATGATTAACATCAAGCAATTAATCAGAACATCTTCTGCCACAAACTAGGTTGAATTGGTTACGACTCGATGATACATGAAAAAACTAGAGCAGGATGTCCCGCCCGCAGAAAGGACGTTTTGACAGTTTAATAAACCTTTTCCATGTTTTTGGTGATAGAACCAATTAGGAAGTGGCATTTATAACCTAGGAAGAAACATTGTGTTGCATAGTGTTATCTGTCAAACAAGACTCAGAGAACATGCAATTCTAGGATGAAAATAAAATGTGAGGAGTTGAAGAGGTTGACCATGGAGTATTGCTGTAGGACTGGGCTGTGGCACAGCTAATTAGTAGCCAGCTGCATTAAATCACTACCGACCGAGAGGTCATGAGCTCGACGCCAGCCCTGGTCAGAGTGAGTGTTGCACTCCAGGTCCAGAAGAAGCCCTCTAACTTAAAACACACCACATGAAGAGTGAAGAATCAAATCCTCTTTTATTGAAGCTTAGTACATAGCCAGAAGAAATAAATGCTTGTAAGAAAATCAGAAGGTTCCAAAAAGTATTAGTCCATAAAGAGTAGTAGCCCAAAGCAATGTCCACACAAAAAATACAGGCAATCTAAGACAGCATTAAATCCAGGCAGGAATCAAGCAGGATGCAAAGGCAATTCAAAAGGCTAAAAAAACTCCACAGAAACAAGATCCCTTAAACAAGACTTCCATGTCACAAGAATTTGGTTTCCAAATGATGCCTGGTATAACAGCACTTACTTTCTGATGCCAGAAGGTAAGTGCTATTTTAATTGAATTGTTTAACACAACAACTGGGTGTTTTTTTGGTTCATCTGTACCTGAATACGGCAGAACCCTGGCAACGTGACATCTCCCAAGGGGGAGGGTGAAAACCCCTTCCACACTTCATCGTTGGACTATTAGAACAGCCAGAAAGTAAGCGCTGTTTTAATTAAACTGTTTGATACAAACTGGGTGTTTGCTTGATTCACCTCTGCCTGAATAACGGCAGATCCCTGGCATCGTGACATCTCCCAAGAGGGAGGGTGAAACCCCCTTCCACACTCCATCATTGGACTATTAAAACAGCCAGAAAGTAAGCGCTGTTTTAATTAAACTGTTTGATACGAACTGGGTGTTTACTTGATTCACCTCTGCCTGAATAACGGCAGAGCCCTGGCATCGTGACATCTCCCAAGGGGGAGGGTGAAACCCTCTTCCACACTCCATCGTTGGACTATTAAAACAGCCAGAAAGTAAGTACTGTTTTAATTACACCGTTTGATACAAACTGGGTGTTTGTTTGATTCACCTCTGCCTGAATACTGGCAGAAGCCTGGCATCGTGACATCTCTCAAGGGGGGAGGGTGAAACCCCCTTCCACACTCCATCACTGGACTATTAAAACAGCCAGAAAGTAAGCGCTGTTTTAATTAAATTGTTTGATACAAACTGGGTGTTTACTTGATTCACCTTTGCCTGAATAACAGCAGAGCCCTGGCATCTTGACATCTCCCAAGGGGGAGGGTGAAACCCCCTTCCACACTCCATCGTTGGACTATTAAAACAGCCAGAAAGTAAATGCTGTTTTAATTACACTGTTTGATACAAACTGGGTGTTTGTTTGATTCACCTCTGCCTGAATAACAGCAGAGCCCTGGCATCATGACATCTCCCAAGGGGGAGGGTGAAACCCCTTTCCACACTCTATCGTTGGACTATTAAAACAGCCAGAAAGTAAGTACTGTTTTAATTACACTGTTTGATACAAACTGGGTGTTTGTTTGATTCACCTCTGCCTGAATAACGGCAGAGCCCTGGCATCGTGACATCTCCCAAGGGGGAGAATGAAACCCGCTTCCACACTCCATCGTTGGACTATTAAAACAGCCAGAAAGTAAGGGCTGTTTTAATTAAACTGTTTGAAACAAACTGGGTGTTTGCTTGATTCACCTCTGCCTGAATAACAGCAGAGCCCTGGCATCGTGACATCTCCCAAGGGGGAGGGCGAAACCCCCTTCCACACTCCATCATTGGACTATTAAAACAGCCAGAAAGTAAGGGCTGTTTTAATTAAACTGTTTGATACAAACTGGGTGTTTGCTTGATTCACCTCTACCTGAATAACAGCAGAGCCCTGGCATCTTGACATCTCCCAGGGGGGAGGGTGAAACCCCCTTCCACACTCCATCGTTGGACTATTAAAACAGCCAGAAAGTAAGCGCTGTTTTAATTAAACTGTTTGTTACAAATTGGGTGGTTGCTTGATTCGCCTCTGCCTGAATACCGGCAGAGCCCTGGCATCGTGACATCTCCCAAGGGGGAGGGTGAAACCCTCTTCCACACTTCATCGTTGGACTATTAAAACAGCCAGAAAGTAGGTGATGTTTTAATGAAATTGTTTAACAACAACTGGATGTTTGTTTGGTTCATCTCTACCTGAATAACGGCAGAGCCCTGGCATCGTGACATCTCCCAAGGGGGAGAGTGAAACCCACTTCCACACTCCATCGTTGGACTATTAAAACAGCCAGAAAGTAAGTGCTGTTTTAATTAAATTGTTTGACACAAAGTGGGCGTTTGTTTGATTCACCTCTGCCCGAATAACTGCAGAGGCCTGGCATCGTGACATCTCTCAAGGGGGAGGGTTAAACCCTTTTCCACACTCCATCGTTGGACTATTAAAACACCCATAAAGTAAGCGCTGGTTTAATTAAACTGTTTGATACAAACTGGGTGTTTGTTTGATTCACTTCTGCCTAAATAATGGCAGAGCCCTGGCATCGTGACATCTCCCAAAGGGGAAGGGTGAAACCCCCTTCCACACTTCATCGTTGGACTATTAAAACAGCTGGTTTAATTAAACTGTTTGATACAAATTGGGTGTTTGTTTGATTCACCTCTGCCCGAATAACTGCAGAGCCCTGGCATCGTGACATCTCCCGAAGGGGAGGGTGAAACCCCCTTCCACACTCCATCGTTGGACTATTAAAACAGCCAGAGAGTAAGTACTGTTTTAATTACACTGTGTGATACAAACTGGGTGTTTGTTTGATTCACCTCTGCCTGAATAATGGCAGAGCCCTGGCATCGTGACAATGTGGCTGAGAATGCACAAAGGAATTCGTCAAAAACTTTTTGAAGCCTAGTCAATCTTTATTGGTCCCTTTTCTGACAATTAAACATGAATAACACTTTCAAACCAGAAACAGAAAATTTCAATTTTTGTTACATAGCATAATTTCTGCTGGATCGCCCAAACGCGGGCTTCATTTTCCGCCCTTTTGGTATCTCAACTCCGTAGGCTTTGGAGGCTTTCATGAACGTTTTGGGAGCACCAGCGGTGTAATTTCTTTCTGATGGAAATTGATTTGGGATCCAGGTTTTTTCGCTGAGCCACGGCCATAAGAATCGGCATCAGGGTTTGCTGGAAGCCATCCGCTCCTAATTAACCGCCGAGAAATCCTTCGTTTCCCTCCAGAGCTCGCTTACAAAAGTGTTGGCGAAGGGAAACACTGTTTTTTCTCTCTCCCAACATCAAACAAATGCTTAAAAAGCTAGACTGGCCTACCTTTTTTTGGCCAGGAAAATGGACCACTCAGCGGGTTTCCCAAACTGGCAAATTCCCCGATCGATCCCATACAACGATCCTCAAGATTTGGGTGCGTTTCATCCAAAACAAAACCGACACATTCGTCACGTTTTATTTTTATCGTGCTCTCGTCCCCAAAACGGGACTCAAGCCAACAAGACTTGCCGACAGGTCTCTCTCAAACAAGTTGTGTTCCTTTTAGGGACTTTGGGGGTACTTTTGGGTACTTGGGGAAGGAATAAGACGACAAGAAAAGGCACAGTTCCAACGTCACCAAAAAACAGGAGCATTTCGATACATTTCCGCAAAGCTTTCAATGAAAGCTAAATATACATGTGTGAAATGAAGAAACTGGGTCAGGAACACCTTGCCGAAATGATCTAAGACTGGAAGTAGCTTCTGAAGCAAATCCAAGAATATTTTCTTCCAACTTAAAAAGAGATCTGTAGTTCTATATAATTATATATATTAGGCCTGGGTAACAACGGAAAAATTTGTTTCTAAAATCGATTCGTTTTTTGGGGTTTTTTGCGTTTCGTTATTTAAAATAATTACAAAATTTTCCTTTAAAAAAGTTCGATATTTACGAAATTTCGTAAAGGTGAAAAAAATTACAAAACAATAACGAATCGATTTCCGAAACAATAACGAATCGATTCGTTAATGGCGGACGCGACCGCGCAATACGCTAAAAAACCTCCAAAACTTCTGAAGCTTCCCCCTCCCTCTGTTGTTGACTGTTGGTGTGATATTATAATTTTTTTTCACTAATTAAACAACATAAAACTGGCCCAGACATGCGGAAATAATAACGAAACGACCTCAAAACAATAACGAAAACGAATACAATATCAAAATACGAAGCATTTACAAAACGTTTTTGAAAATTCGTTTTTTTAATAATTGCTCCAGAATGGTTCGTTATCGTTTTGTAATTTAAAAAATTAACGAATTATTAACGAATTACGAATTAACGAAACGAAACCGCCCAGCCCTATACTAGACTACTTGACCCACTATAGAACTAGACTATAGTT